GGGGGGGGGGGAGCGGTTCGTTTGGGGGGCCCCGACCCCCGGGGCGGGCGCCCCGCCGCGCTTCCCAAGCGGCGCACTATCCAGTGCGCCACCGGGCCGGCCCCCAATTCCACAGTCTTAATTAATGTTGTTTCATAGGCCAGATCCTTCTATTATGTTCTTTTTGAAGAGTATCTTGTTCTTTTTGCACTTTGTATTAACATGTAACTTCAGAATCAGCTTTCTGAAATTCCACTAAAATATCTCTTTATATTTTTGAGATTGTTACTTGATAAATCAATTACTGAGAATTGATATCTGTACAATATTGAGTCTTTAATTATGTGAACATGGTATATGTCTCTCTCCATTTAGGTTTTCTGTAAAATTGCTTATGCAGACATAAGCCATGGCATGTGATTTCCTTGGATATTTTTTTTAGCCCTAAGGTTATTACTAAACCACTGAACATGCTATGTCACCTCAACCTTTAATGACACAAGTCACTTGTGGTTGCAAAATAGCTAAATGTAGGGAGTAAAAATTGTAAAAGGCTTTTTAAAAAGGTGTCGGAAGAGTGATCATAGTCATCAGACCATTATTTCGTATTCTTACACATTAAAAATATATTTAAGACAATGAAAGAGAAGAAATGAAAGCATTATAATAGCAAAATAATTACTGGAAATTCAAATTTTAGCCAATTCAGAGAACCAGTGGAAAAGACCTAAAGCAAAATCTAGAAATAATGTCTGGAGTAGCTGACTATTTCTAAAATGGAGGTGATATTATAAGCATACAAACTATACCAGTAAAATTCTGAACCAACCAATGATTTTCCTGTTTCTGACATAGAAGTCACATTGAGGGCACTTTAACAACCTATACCCATAGAGAATCAACTTCTAAAAAGATCAAAATTATTGAAGCATTCTTTGAGTCAGGATGGCTTCCAAAATATGCAAATTAAGATTATAGATGTCTCTAAAATCTTAGGATTGATAGCTAAAAGGTAGGTTTTGACGCCATCATATTCAGCTGTCTGATTTTACAAATGAACTGAGAGAAACTAAGAAACTCTGTGACTTGGCTGATATTAATTGATTAGTTATTGTTGGGTTTGATATAATAATCATAGTTTTTCAACAGATACTCTTTCTATAAACCACACTTTTATCATATGTAAATTTTGTTTCATTCTTAGAATAATTTTGCCTTGGATTTTCTTTAATTTTTATTTAAAAAGATAAGGCTGTTTTTTACAGATTATTTGCTACAACACTTGTGGCTTCTCAAGATGGATCAACAGGATTTCTTTCTGCTCTTGCTCATTTGCTCATTGAATCAAAGTGTGTGATGAAGGTGGAATAGCACATATGCATAAAAGGAGAAACTAGGATGATCATATTAACATGCTATTATAACATATGTGTTAATAGTATGACATAGCTTGACTGTATAGTCTTTTACTATATCCATTTACCTTATAACTCCTAGAGAGATGATATGTGAAGGATATTCTGAAATCTTTTAACATAAATTCCAAATTCTGAGTTTTCTTACAGTAAGAAATAAAACTCCTCTCTGAAATAACAAACTTCTTTCAGAAAATCAAAGTCAGGCTGGACAGTTAGCTCAGTTGTTTAGAGCATGGTGCTGGTAACACCTTGGTCCAGGTTTTGATCCCTGTACCAACCAGCCTCCAAAGAACAACAATAAAAAAAACGGTATTTATTCCATTAAACAAAGTTCACTGTGAATTTTTGCATGTTTCCCAAAGATTTTGTTGAAATTGGATGTCTATTATAAATTTCTCCAATGAAGACTTGGATTTAAGTATTTAAAGCAGTAATTAGCCATACTCTGTTCTACTAGTTGCCTTGATGAAATATCAAAGCTATTAGTAATTACTGTTAACATTGTGAATTATTCTTATGGTTATTTTATCATCAGTTGACTTTCTTTTATCACTACAAATTTCTCAACCATTTTTCTTCATCTCTTTCCCCTTCCTGCATCTCTTTCCCATCTTTTCCATTGGTAAAAATGCAGAGTAATTTTAATAATCATATCTAAAACACTTTTAGTCAAGTCTGCTTTAGATAATGTATTCCAGAATCAAATACATTGTTTTATAATGCCCACTTAGCAGCGCCAGCAGCTTGTACTTCCTCTCCTCCTTCCTTCTCCTTCCCCTCTTACTTCCCCTTCCTTCTTCCTCTCCCTTTAATAGTTTTATTTAATTAAAATAGGAGTGAGAAGGCCAAAATGTTGACATTTGGCCTTTCTCATGTCTGACTCTGTCTCAGTCATCAGCTAAACTATTATCTCCATGGAGAAAAGTAGGTATGTGAGGTCTTCAAAAAGTTCATGGACAATGTCTGTTATAAAAAAACTATGCGTGGATTTCAAAATATTTTTGCGCCAAAATAAACTCATACTAATTTGTTATAACATGTCTGAATAGGATCTAGTTTAAGTTGCTGAGAAGTATAAAACATCAGTTTGAAAGGAGCCCCTATTAGAGCAACATGAATTCTGTTAAAATTGAAGCAAGAACAAACATCAAACTTATGGTGAAGCTTGTGTGGAAGAATGGAGAAATCATGGATGCTGTATGAAAAGTTTATGGGCACAATGCTCCAGGGAAATCAACAGCTTACAGATGGAGGACTCCTTTTAAGAAGGGACGAGGTGGTGTTTAAGATGAAGTCTGCAGAGGCAGACCATCTACATCAGTTTGTGAGGAAAAAATTAATCTTTTTGTCCCCTAATCGAAGAGGATCAACAATTAACAGCAGAAACAATAGCCAATGCCATAGACATCTCAAATGGTTCAACTTAGGAATTCTGACTGAAAAATTAAAGTTGAGCAAACTTTCTGCTTGATGGATGCCAGAACTGTCGCACCCAGATCAGCTGCAGACAAGAACAGAGATTTCAATGGAAATTTTAAACAAGTGGGATCAAGACCATGCAGCATTTCTTTGAAGAATTGTAACAGGCGATGAAACATGTCTTTACCAGTACAATGCTGAAGACAAAGCACAGTCAAAACCTAGGCTACTAAGAGGGGGAAGTGACCCAGTCAAAATGAAAGTGGACCTGTCAAGAGCAAAGGTCATGGCAACATTTTTTTTAGGATTCTCAAGGCATTTTGCTTGTTGACTTTCTGAAGCGCCAAAGAACAGTAACATCTGCTTATTATAGGAGTGTTCTCAGAAAGTTAGTCAAAGCTTCAGCAGAAAAATGTCCAGGAAAGCTTCACCACCACGACAATGCTCTTGCTCATTCCTCTCATCCAACAAGGATAATTTTGCAAGAGTTTTGATGGGAAATCATTAGGCATCCAGCTTGCAGTCCTGATTTGGTTTCTCCTGACTTCTTTTTATTTCCTAATCTTAAAAAAGTCTTTAAAGGGCACCCCCACCCTTTTTTTTCTCATTTAATAATGTATAAAAAGAGTGCCTTGACATGGTTAAATTCTCAGGACCCTTAGTTCTTTAGGAAAGGATGAATTGGCTGATATCATCACTTACAAAAGTGTCCTGAACTTGATGGAGCTTATGCTGAGAAATAAGGTTTATATTTTTTATTATTATTCCATTTTTCCGTGAATTTTTTGAAGTGTCCTTGTATAGTATGCTGCTTCTTGTCTAAATAGAGAGTATATCTGTACTTTGTGTATGTGTGTGTCTGTATATTTACATACATCCACACAGACATTTACCTATTAGTTTAAAATGAAACATAATGGAAAGATAAACCATAGAATAAAATAAGTTGTCAAATAATTCTCCAATGTGATTATACCATTTTAACATCCACTGCAGTGTATTGGAGTTTCATTTGCTCCGTATTTGCCATTTTGTGGTGTTAGTCTTTTTGATTGTCACTACTAAAATGAGTGTGAAATGTGGTTTTAATTTGCATTAGATGTTTTTTTTAAATTTATTAATTTATTTTTCCCTTGTTCGGTCTCTTCCCAACTTCCCTCTCCCTCTCCTACCTCTAGGAGACAACAAATGTATGAATTAAGATCTGTTGAGCACTCTTTCAAGTACCTATTTGGCATTCTTGTATCTTCTTTTATGAAGTGTGTATTTGATCTTTCCCCTTTTGGGAGAGGGTTATTAGTCTTTTTCTTTTGGATATATAGGAGTTTGCATATGTTCTGGATATAACTTTTTTGTCAGATATATGTGTAACTGTCCTCTTCTACTATTTAACAACAAATAAAGGATATTGTGTATAAAAGATATCTACACATTTAATATTTCTAAACTGCTGGCAATTTTGGAAAGAAACTAATAAGTATTTAAAACAGACTTAACAAATAAAGGATATTATGTATAAAAGATATCTACATATTTAATATTTCTAAACTGCTGGCAATTTTGGAAAGAAACTAATAAGTATTTAAAACAGACTTTATAATTTTAAATTTAAAACAAAGATTACACTTAATTGCCTTGTTTTTGGTTTCAGGTGCAGTTGAAAACTAGCGTTTCTAGTCAGTATGTAATTCGGATGCAACCTACTAATACGTGCCTTTCTACACTGGAGTGTGCAGCTGTGGCTCTTTCCATCTTGGAAAAAAATAATTACATACAAGAGGTATGTCTTTGGAAGGTCTATAGTTTTCGAAAATAGGAGTTGGTCAGATTTTATCTAGAAAATTCAGACATGCTTAACTTGTTAAATTTGTAACTCAAGTGATAAGTAGTATATATCTGTGATAGAAATTTATGTACTTTTATAACCTTCTTCCTCCTCTGGTGTTTTTCTGTGTTAGTTTAGCATTCCAGATTGTATTATTTAAATATTCATACTAAGCTGTGCAAACAGCATTTGTAATACACTAAATTGCATTTAAGTAACACAACATTAGAGTTTTTTGGCTAGATTTTTCTTTTAGTATTTTCTATTTCTCTTTTTAGTATCTTGTGTTCTCCTATGCTCAACATTTTTCTTTTTAATTAAAAGAGCATTCTACAGAAACTTTTTTTTGCATTAGTGCCTTTATTTGAGAAGTTATACTAACTTCCTGTTTATCTTATTAACCTTGCTTAGAGTGTAAAAAAGGTACATTTTTGTTTTAGAGAACTGCCCACAGAATGTGAAAAGGTTATAACTTACGATCGTTTTATTTAATTTCCATGAAAGACTGATGATTTCATATGTATTAGTAATCAGCAAAGAATAATGTTTCAAAGAACTTACTAACATCTCATCTTTTGGAACATGTAATAAACTTTGCATTTATAGCAAAAGAAAAAATAGCTAGATAGAACTTAAATTATTAAGGTTTTTTTAATCATTGAAAAATTCTGATAAAATACCAACTCAAGAAGAAAAGTCAGAGGGTAACAAGCATACTAATGAAGTTTATAACTCCCCTTCCAACACACATGCACACACACGCATGCACACACACGCACACGAAGTACTCTTTCCCCCCTGCCTTCTTTCTCACTCTTTCATTATGCGCTGTGGTTACCATTATAAGAGTGTGCCTTTGCCATGAAGGAACTTTCAATAATGGGTAAAAGCTTGGTTCAGAGTAACTGGATTAGTTACCAAGATATTAATCCAAAAGAGAACAAAAAGATCTCAATAGTAAGGATTGCTAAAGAATGCCAGAAGCAAGCACTGAATTGCCTTTTTCCTTTCCCCCATGCTAAACTGTGGAAAATGTCAGAGCTGGAGACTTTTCTTCTTTTGGAAGAAGTAGATTTCATAAGTAGGCTTTTTTGGGGTATATATGTGTGCGAGTAGACTTTGTTTTGGGTCCAGGCAATTTTGCTTTCTCTGTTCTCTCTCCTTTGAGAAAAAAGTTCATGAGGGACCCTAGACAGATCCTTACCATATGTCAGCAGGGACTGTTCTCAGCCTCTTCTCCCTCTCCTCTAGCCTTATAGCTTACTTCCGTGTACTCAGCCATCAACATAGCACTTTATGTATGCCTATAGTTGTCTTTCTGTTTTGTTTTTTCACCATCATCCCTGTATGTTTGAGAGCAGATATATGCTCTTTATAGGTATCTTTAAAAAAAGATGAAACCCAATGCTGTTTAAACTTGCTTTTGTACAGTTTCTGTATTTTCCTTTTTGCTGATGTAAGATTCTAGGATCTGACAACATCAGACTAAGGACCCATTAAAAGTTCAAATCTTGAGGGAAAAATATAATGTTCTTTGGCTATGGATTTAAAACTTGCTTCTCTCTCCTTATTTTGGGTTTTGCAGAGAATCCTCTGTGGATTTTTGTCTCTTATTCCCACAGTTAAAACTGGATCTTTATTGCAATCCTAAATGGAAGGCTTAATGTTGGTAACAGTGGTGGTTACAGTAACAGTAGTTGTAGCATGTTACGGTTAGGGCTAGGGACAGGGTTTGTTCTCCTGCTACTAATGCTGTTACTGTTCCCCTTCTCTCCAGTTTTATAATACATATTATTCTGGTATTCATTAAATTACCATCATAGCAGGAAACCTATCAGCCAAGAATATTTCAGGTTCTATTTTACAAATACTCTATATAATACAAGTATCTAGAATGAATTCTTTCAAAGTTGACTGAGAAGGAACTTATTCAAAAAAATAATATAACATTAAATATTTAGGACAATTTTCTTGATAGTTTTTAGGGTTTCTTCTCCATTGGCATATTTTTATTTTCATCCTTTCACTACTTTTACTGCTTTATATAACCAAAAGCATTCATTGGTGACATAAAGCTAAAAGCTGACATCATTGATTCGTGCTAAATTAGATGTGCTTTGTGGTATGGTATCTTTAAAAAAAAAACAAAAAAGGAATCCTTATTGTGACAACACGAGACTTGCACAAAATCTTATGTTCTGAGTAGTACCTAACAACAGGCAAAGTTGAAGGTACAGAATGGTGACAGAACCTAGCATCTCTTTAGATTTTGTTATTATTGTCTATAAATCACGTTGGACATAAAATCTCCAAATAACAGTGAGGTCCTAGAGTTCTCATTCTGCTTGCTTTGGTCACCAGGAATAATCATACTCTAGTGGCCAGGAGTAGCAAAAAGATGTTTGACAATCAATTGGCCTGTGATTTGGGAGGTGCTGATAAGATGGTTGGTGAGAGCATGAATAGAAGAAATGCATAATGAAACCTCCCAAGTTGCTTATTATTACAGATAGCAAAAATTGGCCCCCCAACTTACGGTAAAGCTGCTTTCTTAGTGGGGGAACCCTATGTCCAGCCTGTTCAAATCTAGTTGCAATAAAAACGTATTGTGTTTCTATGTGAAACACAGTTACAGTCTGTTCTAAACATAGGTGTTTTCTTGACATACATTTTTTTCCCAGTAACCTTTTTTTTTTTTTTTTTTTTTTTTTTTTGGGCGGTGAGCCACTATTGGTATCCAAACTTGTGACCTTGGTGTTATAAGGCTGTGCTCTAACCAACTGAGTGAACCAGCCGGCCCCTAGTAACATTTTATGAGGGGCAATTGTAGTAAAAATTTAAAATTGATGGAGGAGAGTAGTAAATTTTCACTTGGCTTCATTCTATAGAGATCGGGCTCTTCAAAATAAAGAACTTGGCATAGAATAGCTTTGTTAGTCTGTTGGTTCATCCACATCTTTTATTCTAGAGCAGTTTTTCAAGCACTTGGAGATATGATATGAAAGCATAGCTACCTGGAAGTGGTATGATACGGGCTTTGAAGTAGGTTTGAATTACAACTTCATCACTTATTATCTTCACTTTTTGCCAATGTGCAGTTCACATAATTTCTTTGTGCTTGTTTCCTTATCTGTGATATACAAAAAAATGGTTACCTCATAATATTGTGAGAATTGAGTAAGATAATATGGGCTAATTGCCACAATTGTCAACATAGGCACTTAAGAAGAGTTCATCTTTTTGCCCTTCCTTGCCTTTCTGATTTTTGCCTATAGGTTGACAAAAGGAATTTTGAACTAAAAGTTGGTAGCTGTTACTCAGCTACTATAAGGTAGAAGTGACAAAGCTTTGTGTCATAGCTGAAGTGGCTTAGCTCTATGCAACACCAGTGGTTGGTAATAATGGTCCCTTGAAAACTGTTACTTTGTACATACAAACAAAAGGATTTACAAAACACTGATTTTCTGCCAACTAGGGGGAAAAATAGGATTAAAAAATAATATGAATCTTTCCATGAACTTTTTGAAGACCCTTTGTAAACATTTAAAAACTAATTTGTTTTATAAGTAAAAGATTTTCTTTGTTTCTCTGAATCAGTCTTTCTCTCACATAGCTTCACATAGCCTCAAATATAATGTTCTTTATTTCTATAGAAACATTATCATTTATTGAGTATCAAATAGCTCTGAACAATATTACTGTAGAAAGCCTCTTAGGTATGTTCTATATTCCTGACCAGTCTCCACTGAGTGGTCCTACACCGATTGGGGTGCAGATCAGCTGTCCATGCTATGCCCCAGTGTTCCCCAGGTGGGCCTGTCTCCCCCACCGCCAATGCTCCAAACACTTCCCATAGGACGGGCCATGTGCCAGTCCCTTGCAATGACTCATTGGCCTCTGAGTGGCTCCTTTTGTCAGTTGTTGTGGCTCCTTGCTCCTATTTGGGTCCATGGGAACGCGGTTAGTGCCGCTTCCAAGCAACCTCATAGGAAGGGCCCAGCAGTGAATTTTGCCAGCTCTTGCTCCATGTGCTCACCAGCTCCTGCTCCATGTGCTCACCAGCTCCAGCCTTGAAGTGGCCGGGATTTGAAATGGTAGAAGTGATCCTTCCTTTCTCTCATCGTGGCTTCTCCCACTTTCATGAACTCTGCAGGCATCTCCTCCTCTTCCCCAGAGCTCCAGTGGCTCCAGCTTGACTGTAGTTGCTTTTTAAAAGTTATAAATTGGTTGATTTGTGGGAGCCAGTGATGCTGGCAACTGTCTATTTCACCATCTTGACCGGAAGCTGTACCATACAAATTTTAAGATTTTTTTTTTTCTGTGAAGAATGTCTTTGGTATTTTGATAGGGATTGCATTGAATGTGTAGATTGCTTTGGGTAATATAGACAGTTTGATGATAATTCTTCCACCCAAGAACATGGAATATCTTTCCACTTACTTGTGTCCTCTTCAATTTTTTTCACCAATGTTTTATAGTTTTTATTGTAGAGATATTTCACCTCCTTGGTTAAATTTATTCCTAGGTATTTCATTTTTGGGGTAGCTATTGTGAATGGGATTACTTTCTTGATTTCTTCTTCACCTATTTCATTATTGGTATATAGGAAAGCTGTTGATTTTTGTGTGTTGATTTTGTATCCTGGCACTTTACTGAATTAGATCTAGTAATTTACATTATTAGATCTAGTAATTTCTTGGTGGAGTCTTTAGGATTTCTATGTATCTGATCATATCCTCTGCAGTAAGGATAGTTTTGCTTCCTCCTTTCCAATTTTGATGTCTTTTATTGCTTCCTCTTGCCTTATTGCACTGGCTAAAATTTCCAGTACTTTGTTGAGTAAGAGTGGGGAAAGTGGGCATCCTTGTCTTGTTCTAGATCTCAGAGAGAAAGCTTCCAGTTTTTGTCCATTCAGTATGATATCATCTGTAGGTTTGTCATAGGTGGCCTTTATC